AACTGACGCATAAAAGATCAAACATTCACTGTAATCATATTTTAGACACAAATTTTCAGTTCAGAGCACAAATGAACGTTCAGTTGAAAAATGAATCTCCTATTCTTAGCTGATAAAGGAAGAAAATACTTTTGGGCTCATCCCGATATATCAACCCGTTACGGAGATAATTTCAACACTGTTTAAACGGTACTTGTCTAGACTAATCATTCGGGTTCGTGCTGGCCTTTAGACGAATCCTCCTCTTATGTTTGAGTGGACGGCCGTCTTCACGAACTATTTTCATTGCGCGTAACGGTGAGAAGAGCTGGAGCTCGCACCAAGGGTGGCTCCCAGTGTTTGCAATTTCCACGCGAGATACGAGGGTTAACTTCGTCATAAAGTTTCGTGAAAAGCACGCCACGAGGCTGGCCTCTGATAATCAAAGTTACCAAGTTACCAAGACTTAACTCTTTTGCTTTACAAGGAACAATAGCCGAACAGAACGGTTAACTTTTGTCGGGCAATTGGAAAACAAAGAACATTTATCTATTATAAAATAACAGTAATATATGTAAAGAAATTTCAAGAATTTCAAAATGTTTTTAAAGTTACATTGACTTATTGAAATTTTTAGTTTATAAGAAAAATCTACTCGTTTCTCTCTTCTCTTATATAAAAGAGTAACATTTTTCCTGCTTTCCTCTTAAAATTTCCTTTAAAATTAAAAGTAACGTAGACAACTCTTTCTTTAATCAACCAAGTTTACAATATTTCCTTCACGGATTTAACTAACGTGGATAGAAGCGAACTAAAATATTCTCACAGAACGCATTAATCACGATGTCAAGTCATAAACCTCGTAGACATTGTACTTTCCTTAATCTGTTCACGCGCAATTAGTCGGAATATGTTACACGTATGAACGATACGAACTAAAGTTTTTAAAGTGGCATATACAAAGCCACGTCATCAAATATATAAATTATCAAATTTCAAATTAAATCATTCAAATGATTGATAACATATTGAGTTTCTTTTAATACTATCCTGTTTTAATCATAAAATTATTTAAATATGATATAAATTGTAACGAAACTAGAATACATAAACAATACTTTTTCAAATTTTGTATAGTAATTTATTTAGGATCTGAAAGCTTCACTTTCGCGTGTTTCACTCAATCATTAATTTACCCATCGCTTACATTAATCACAGACTATTAGATGTACGAGCCAGCCTTAATTTTTCGTGCTGTTGCCAGTCGAAAGACCATAACTCTACTCGTACTATCTCGTCTGTGCTTTAATGATTCCTAAGAATTAATCATACAAATGCACTATTATTAATGAAGGCACATTTGCGACATACAAAAAAGTGATAAATAAAATTGTTAATAAAATTCGTATTGGCAATTTTTAGGATTAATTATCATTAGCGCGAGAGTGAAGCTTGAAGTTTAGGCGGATAGAGCAGAAGAAAGGGGAAGAAAAGCGAAAAAGCGATAGAACGTAGTGCGTACCTCAACGTGTCAGACCAGATCGTACCTTAGGGACGGCCGACGGAAATCGAGCCCCTCGAGGTCGGACGGCTCTCGTCTGCAGAGCGAGCAGAAAGCGCACTGGAGCGTGTTCTTGAACGCTTCTCGGAAGTCGCGGTTAAAGTACGCGTAGATCAGCGGATTCAACGCCGAGTTCGTGTAGCCGATCCAAAAAAGCAACGCGATCACCACGTCCGGACAGGGACAGGTCTCGCCGCACAGCGTTGTAATCACGTACCTACCAACAAAGTTTAAAGCTTTCATTGCTAAAAAAACTATGAATTTGTATGGAATTGTGAATAAAACGATATGCAAGCTAAATCAATAAAAGAATAATGAATATGATATAGAATGGAAATACTGAAAATGAAATTTGCCAATGACTCTGGAATTTATTAAAGTGTAACAATATCGGAGGTAACACGAGGCGAGTAAACGTTTCATATAAACCAGTTATTCCTCTAGACGCGTTAACTCAATTATTGGACTTTTCATCTTAACAAGAGTAATTGAATCTATTAACCGAGCACGTGACAATTTTTCTGTCTCCACGTTACAATTAAACCAACGACCACTTGAAATTAATTTAATCAACTATATTAATGTGTCAAAATTGTAAATATCCAGTTGAACAAATAAATTCCTTTAAAATATATTTAGAAAGACAAAAAAATCTGCTAGCTATGAATTACTTTTTTCATACAAAATTTCATACGTACCACAGGAAGAATGGCAACCAACATATAATGAAGGTGCCCATGATGATGCCTAATGTTCTGGCAGCCTTGTGCTCTCTCTTCATTTTCATGATGTTCTTATCCTTAGTAGGAGTGTGCAGATGATCCGTACTGATCTCGTTCAGCGTGAGCGTTTTCGACGAGCCCGCGCTATTCAACTCCCCGTTGAGGTTGTTCAGATCCTTGCTGGGCCTGTGACTCAACAGCATAACATTGCCCATTCTGCTGTGCATCTGCTTCTCCTGCTTGTTCGCCTCTCTGAATACCGCGAAGTACGTGAGCGTCATGATGGTGCACGGTATCCAGAACGAGATGCTCGACGAGAAGATCACGTAAACCTTGTTCACCTTAAACTCGCACAGGTCCGGGTGTTTCCGGCGATGCATGTTGTTCTCGACGGTGGTGTACCAGCCCATGAATATGGGCACGAACGAAATGAACGCGGGCATGATCCAACAGGCGAGCAGCATGTACGCGGCCAGCCTCTTGGTCATGATGATCGGATACTTGAGCGGTTTCACGATCGCCCAATAACGGTCGACCGAGATGCACATCAGATGAAGTATCGAGCTGGTGCTGAAGTAAACGTCCAACGAGTTCCACACGTCGCACATAAAGTAACCGAACAGCCACTTGCCGGTTATCTGCACGCTCGCGTTGAACGTCATCGCGAACATCGCCACGAGCATGTCGGCCAGGGCCAGCGAGACCACGAAGTAGTTCGTGATGATGCGCAGCTTCCGGTGACGCATCACCGACACCATCACGAGCAGGTTGCCGAAGACCGCGGTCAGGATTATCGAGCCGAGGAGGCAACCCTTGACAATCGTCGCCGGTACGAACCACTTGTGCTCGGTGGGGTAGTTGTTGTTCGCGGCCGGGCTGTCCTCGGTCGTGATCGCGTTGAACAGGGTCGTCACGTCGACCGAGGACTCCGTCGGCTCCGTGCTCGTCACGATCGTCGTCATGCTCGGCCGCCGTAAACGGAACCACCCTTCCGTTTACCACCACCTTGGCCTCGCGCCTCCCTCCTCGCGCGCGACTCTTTTCTCCGGCCGGAACAGACCCGACGCGACCGACGGCCTTAGGTCACGGACGTGCCAACGAGCCGACGAACCAGGCTGGCCTTCATCTTCCCGCTAGGGTAAGGGCGTTGCCGCTTCTTGCCAGGTTTACTATCTGCTGGGACGATTGCCAGCGCAATCGACGTTGATCGCACCGTTTCCTCGGAATACTTCTACGAGATGCAATTTCGGACGCGTCTGCTGTTGATCTTTACTTCATTCTACATGTCTGATTAGTAACACTCAGCTACGACCTGGAAAATAGAGAAATCGTCACGGTTAGAAATAGCATTAAAAAACGTCTGATATATTTGTTTGATCAATAACAGTTTTATAAATTCTGCTAGTGAATTTCATATTTCTCTTCGACCAACAATTGTTTTTAATTTCGTCGATGTGAGGCTTGTTACTTTACGTTGCGTTATTCCCAATCTCTTTTTCGGAATTTTTCGAGAGGGAAAGAGTTTCCGGTAAACGTTTTTTGGGATTTATTTACACGCAGCTTCAGCGTTTTTCTCGCTATACAAACACGCAGCGAGCGGAAGAGCTGAATGAATCGAACGCTTTTACGGTATTTTAACGTGATATTGAAGTTCTTGTCGTCTCCCGATTGAGGTATTCGGAGAGAGAAATAGGAAGACAGAGAGAGATATCAGATCAAGCACACTAGACGACCCACTTTATTTGATTTGTTTGTACTACTTGTTTAATCTACTCAATCCATTACAATCATTCGGACTATTCAATTTATTCAGTCGGCACTAATACCAATGTCAGTAGAGTTATTCGTCCCCCCTTGTCGTTCCTCCTCGCTCAAAACTGTCGACGACATTTTATGAAACTGATAAAACAGCATCTCGCGTCGTCTCCTTCATTATAGTTTTTAAAAGATAAAATATTATGTTTTGTGAATGAATGAATTGTTTTAATATGAATATCTATTGAGAATTAATTTTATTTCAGTTTAATGCATAATACTATGATTATTAAATGTCGAAACTTGGACATTTTGATAATGATCACAGTAAATTCAGTATAATACATGATTAATACATGATTGTATAATAATATACAATGCAGGTATCATCTTCCTATTAAAAATGAATGAATATTCCGGAATTATTCTATATCGCAATAACAATTGATAATGAGAAAACAATGAACTGGTATAATATTAAACTAAAATGATAACGAGTTGCCAAAATTAAATTTTTAATACGACAATAACACATTTAAAAGACACATCTCTTTAACAAGATCGATCTTTATAATTCATTGAGATTTCTCCAATTGGAAAAGAATTTCCAAGTCACGATCCAAAAAATTGTTTCAATAAAGAGATGGAAATTTTCAAATTGCTCAATTTTGCGAGTGAAAAGATAGAGAAAACGAGATTTGTAAGTAGATGCACGTTCTGCCTCAACCCTGGACTCGGGCTTTTGTGAAACGTCATCGGGGTGGGTTCTCAGCTAGTTTCTCGATTGTCACCACTCGAAACGAGGACGCGCCGGAAGAATGAGTAACCTTGAATGGGTTACCCTCTTTTTCTGGCCACCCGTCGTCGTAGTCGTTGTCTGTCGCCGCGCGCCGGCTTCGTTGACCGTGTGTCGCGACGGAGCCGTGTCAAGTGCACTACTCCCGTTCTCCGCCCGTGTAATTTACGATCCGCCATTTTTGCGGTACATTTGGGTCAATTATTCCAACGGAACAAGGAGCGTGCGAAACACCGCCGATGAAAAACAGGATGGGAACACGGACAACACGCCATTTTTATTACCCGGCGAGACTGTAACCCCGTTTACGAATTCGTGGCCAAACAGAGTCGTCTACCAACCTTCACCGTTTCGCCCCGTGGCCTTCCGTCGTGTCGCGAATTTTACGCAACATTACAGCAAGAATCCTTGCGTGATGGATGCTTAACGTCGATGGGAATTGTACAGTGAGTAATGCGATAGAGTAGATAGACGATAAAGTATATGCTAAAGTGATTGAGAAAACTTGCTCCAAGAATTACTGCTACTAAAGAGTTTTATTATATATATGTATGTACATTGGCTTTAAACGTCGCAGTAAATTCTTATAAATACATAGTAAAGTATTTTTACATACCATAGCAAAGTTTATTTCTGGAATTAATAATCTTCTGGCTGATCGCTATTTCATGTTTGATCTGATAATTTATAATCGATTTCATGACAATGTTACTAATACTGACGTGTATAAGCAATATTTCTACGTTCCAGTAGCACAAATCATATATTTATAGTAATTTAAATGCTGTTATAAAATTTAAAATATGATCGTCATCAAACAAGTTTTGTATCATCATTAACGTTAATACTCGAACATGTCATCATTAATAGATACGAATGTCGCAAGATTTAACAAATAGTGCTGGCACGTATTTTTATACGTAACGCGTCAGGACGGGATATTTATAATCGAGAACATTCTGCATATTGTTCACATTATTGTAAACAGTAATCTAAATATAATAATTGGATCTCGTCCGAATGAGCATCTATTGGACTTGTTACTTGAGCATCGGATTCATTATTCATCCTAAGTGCGCTAATGCGCGTATCCACTCAGGTTGTAGAGGATTAAAATACATATACGATTGTATATTGTATATGACATACATTAAATTATTGATAGATAGATGTACAATTTGAGGTACAGTAATTCTAATCTAGACTCTAGTACTTCGCTGAAGAATTGGACTTTGGAAACTGGGATTAGTCACTTGGTCAAGGTGCATGAAATAAAAATGCCAAATAAAAATGCCAATGTTCATTTCTCTCCATTAATTTATTAATCAGGATTATTCATTTTTACAATAAATTAGATTCAAGACAGAGGAAATTGATTTTAGTAGAAGAACGTTTATTCGACTAAATTCTAATTAATAAATAAATAGAATCGAATATTAGCATTTTTATTTCACGATCCTTGATTAAATGACCAATGTTTAAAGTATTTAAGATCGGATAATATATAAGATATTTTATCACTTATTTCCTTTAACAATTTAATTAATGTACATGCTAATAAACGTTAAGGTGAATTAAAAAGATATGAGTTAATATCGCTGGATAGGTGTCGATTCATTTGTCAAAGTTCCATGAAATTGCATGGGAGCTTTCTTGTATCTGACAGCTGCAGCTATACACAACCTCACGGCCGAGAAATAACGTCGACAACCACTCTAGCACGGTGTACGTAATACGTGGCACCTGGGGCGACATTAGATAACGCGACCTTGCCAAGGTGTCGCAAAAAACCGAGCCTTCAGGGTGCAATGTGCAATCTCTCCTTTCGACGACCGAGGTTTTTAAAACCCAAATAACCCTCGTTTACGGTGATTAAGAGGCATAAAATTGTAACAGGATGGTTCAGAATTTTATATCACATATTCCACACGTGTTCGTCAAGCCTTTTTAATTAATAATTAATCAAGAAAAGAAATTAGGTTTTTAGTTTTACACTTCAACTTTTGTTTCTATAGATAATTTGAAGAAGAGTATTCTTGATCCGAGGAGAGGAAGCGTGAAATACAGGAAGTACCATATTATAGGTGAGAGAGTAGTTTAAGAGCGATCATTCCTTTTACGAACGAGCACTGTAACTCACCATTATAACATATTATCCACGACAACGCGCAGCGAGCAACAAATCTACAAACGCATAGGGAAACTCGAATAAATACGGTAGCGTTTCGAGCCAGACAACGCGAATTTATCGCGTCGACGTAGCTAGTTTGTCAAATAAAATTGGATTTTAAGCATCGCTGAACTTCCCGTTCATCGCGACGCTCCACAATATTGTAAATTCTGATAAATTGGAACGATGATGGCAAAACTGAACGACGTATTCGCACAAATTAAATTAACTGCGATAATCGCGTGTTAATATTAAATGAAGTAAAATATTGAAGCAAAATTCAGAATCTGCTTTGCTGTTTGAAAATCTGTTTTGTCACTTCGTGCATTTTGTTTTATTTCTTTTGTCTTAACGTTTTTCAAACGATTTGTATTAAAAATTCGTGATATAAAAAATGAAACGGAATTGCTTTCACATATGAATGATCGTGAAACTCTTTCTATCGAAATGATAAACGAAAAGGAACTCTGAACCACGAATTGAATTTCGCGAAACGCGGATACGTTCCAGTGAAATCAAACTATACTCGAAATCGAGTCCCGTTTCCGGAGTGCTACGAGGGCGAAACGGGATCACGCGTTGCGGACGTTGCAGCACGCAATTGCGGGCAATGAATCACGTTGGTAACCGGAAGATAAATTGGAATCGATCGCGGCCTATCCCCTCTGGGTGACATTATCAAATTTTTCCTGCTCGGGAACGATGCTCTTTTTCCTCGAAACGGTCGCCAGAGTAGTTTATCGGCCCGGCCACGGAAAACGGAACCCCGATGCCGAATCAATTGAAAAAATATTACGCGGACAGGTTTTGACGCGAACACTTTTCCCTCGTCCGATCGATTCGATCTCGAAAGCTACCAAACCATTTCGTATACTATTTTTCTTTCGAAAAAAGATACGAGTTGAAATTAAATGGATACAAAATAAGCAATAAATCGAACAATTGAGGCTGTACGTTTTAATCACAAAATAGAGATTGTACTTCAAACAATCAGAATACTTATTTGTAAAGTGACGAATCACAACATGTAATAATCTTCTTCCAATGCAAACCAATTTTAACGACAGCAAACAATTAATTGGATGTTCTTATTTGCAAAAGTCTTTAAAAAGTAGAACAACTGAGAGATAGGATAGCAGTTTTCCCGTTTAAAACCGGCATACGTAAGATCGTTTACTCAACTCATCAAACTTTCCCGAGCTGTATCTTAGCGAGGAATCTTATCAGTGCTCGCGGGGACGACAGCGACGAGGCTGAAAAAACTTTTATCGCGCCGAAATTCGCTTAGTCGATTATGGAAAATCGTTATTTGAATTTTAAACGCTTCCCAAGTTATACCCAGTCAGGCTTGCGTGTATTCTTGCTGCACCTTTATCGATGTTTATGCTGCATAGTGGAAATAAGATTTAGATATCTGGAATTTAAGATTTGTAAAAGAACATCAAGGCGTCAGTTTTAGGGAACGTGAGTAAAAAGAATCGGACCAAGTAAAACGATATGAAGAATTAAAAAATTGAAAGGATCGAAAACTTTTAATTCTTTTACATCGAATCCTAAGACCTCAGATTCTTGAACATATAAAATAAATTTT